TTAAATTTTTTGGTACCTTTATGCAATGCGAAAATAATGAAGCAACATTTAATTTTTAATTTCTTTTTTATATTTCTAATTTAATTAAAAAATTTTATGTTTCATATAACCATAAAAAGAAACTTAAAATGTTAATTCAAGAGGGTAGGTGGTTTCCTACAAACCTGCAAATACTATTGCAAATCTTAAAATTTTCTTAATGATGTTAACTTTTTATTGATCTGATGGTATATAAATTGAGTTCCATAGACAGCAGTTGATGTATTAATGAAAACAGGCATAAACTAATAAAAAACTATTGATCAATATTTATTGCTAAGTTTTACTGGTGTCAATAAAAATCTGTTGATATCAGTTCATTTATTGATAAAACAAGTAGAATACCTAACTGATCAACATCTATCGATACAAGTAACCTACTGATGTCAGTAGACATCAGTTGAAGTGTGAAATACAGACATGTATATACCAATAGAGTACCTACTGATCAATAGCTATTAATACCAATACACTGCTGATATCAGTTGAAATATCAACAGAAACAAGTACATACCAATAAAATTCTATTGATCAATATCTATTGATACCAGTGCACCACTGATATCAGTTGAAATGTCAATAGGGACAAGTACAGACTAATTGAATACCCTACTGATCAGCATCTATTGATACTAATATACTACTAATAGCAGTTGAAATGTCAATAGAAACAAGTACAGACCAATAAAATTCTATTGATCATTTTTGTAGGGACTGTCCTAAACCTTCCTTTTAATTAGCCAAATGCTCGCTCAATGTACCCTAGCAGGAAAAAAAATTGATTGGGCCAATATTCAAGAATCTTGGCTCAGTAAAGGTTTTGTCACGACGTTGCCTCGTGACAATTCTCGCGGTCATTCGAACGCTTTGTCCTTGAAGCAAAAGTGCGAGCTTTGCGCCAAAGTGACGTCACTAGGGAGTTTTTTCAAAGGAGTGAACCAGTCCTTCTATTCTCTTTAGCCCTGATATATTCTATTCTTGTCTTATTTACCCTAGTGCTTTTAATTTTTCTAAAATTAGCATGTAAAGGACTAATTTCAGTGATCATTTTTCCACTGCGTAATTTGACCAGAACTGCAAAGGCATTCCTACGCTTTTTCATGCTGGGTGGAGCAGTCATTGGAACAGGGATAAGAAGACAATTTAATGACTTTCATAATTACCTCGAACTTAAAAATATACCATTGCCTTCAACACAGGCATCGTTACTTGTGTTACTGTGCATTTTTCCAATGATATTAGCTGACTGTTCGAAACATTCACTCATCACATCTGATATACAAAATTGTCACACACGTGAGGGAGTGAGAAAATGCGACATGTTCACTACCGCCCAATTCACCCTCAAAGGATTGGATTATGAGGCCTGCCTTTGATTCCAGGACTCTAGAAAGAGTAATCTACTGAAGCTTAAGTTGCGCTTAGTTTCATAACAATGCAGCTTTTCTACCAAGCGTAAATACTTTAAGTTTCCTGTCCAATAACGTACCATCTCACAGTTAGCATGTCCTCAAAATTATCAATGTGCATGGGGAGAGCACTGCAATGTCGGAAAAGAATTTGAAGGACTCACGGACGAAAGCCTCACCTACCCAAGTTTTAATGCTTGTCATCCGTCAAGTGTAGGGAGTGGATGCATAGTTGTATCCAGAATGGGTTGCGTATTCTATAGATTGTTCTTTGTTCCGGATCTATTGAATTCTTATGAGGTCCGCAAAATCATTGGACACCGTTGCACCTATACTATAGCGGTGGAACAAGCCAGGAATATGTCCACGAAGCTCCTCACACTATAGTCAACCGCCTTCACTTCTGATGGCATATTTCTAGAAATCTTTGGTTCTTATAATCAGCCTCCACGTCATCTATCAGATTCCTTAGTGCTTCGAGTAGGCGGCGATCTTTCCGAAGCATATCTTATACAGTCCGGTCCTCAAAACCATCTAACCGCAGGTATGGTTGGGCAAGTGCAAGCTAACACGAGCTACACTAAAGATTTTATTTTTGACAAGGACCTGTAGTTTTTTTGAAACCACGCGACGTTGTGAAAAACGTCTACATGGATTGCAAACCACGATTTCAATAAAAGAGAATTCTCTCCCTCTTATACGGGATATGCATCTGCTATTTTAAAACCTATAAAATATCGCTAGAACACAATGAAATATGCCCAAAAATAACCCATAACGAAATTAAAACAAAAGGTTCTTACAGTTGCCAAATTCGAAGTGAAATGTACATAACAGCTCTTTCCAATTGCCAAGCAGGTACAGTATCTGTTGAATTTCAAGTTCTACAATTACATACGCTAAGCCTGTTTTTAGAAACTGAACTTAGGGAATTTAATATTCAATTCTTAGCGGAGAAAAAGTGCTATGATGAAAAGATATAATGGGTTTCAAGTAACATGAAACATTGCCAACTAATATCTTTCTGTTTAAATGAGCCTTAATTTAATTCAATTAAGGTATCCGACTACGTTGAAAAGGCAATTTTCGACAAAATGACACAATTTTTTTTATTGTCTTAAAATATAGCCTACAGTTATACGTTTCTAAAACTGTTCTTATTTTTTCTCTGCGTCAAATATTTAAAAAGTTATGAAGGTTTTAAAGAAGGGTGATAGTCATCTGAAGCTACCGGAAGTGAAGAAAACGAAACCGAAAGCTTGATATTTCTCATATTTCCAGCTTCATTTTAATCAATATCGGTTGTGTTTTTAAATACTTTAAGTTCTAGATGGTAAACCTCAATTAGTTAGTATAAGAAAGCTATAAGCACAGTTTTATTAAAGCATAAGACTCCAAATCTGGTGACATTCTGGTGAAACTTTGTTTATTTTGTCTTTGCTTTTTCCCCGTGTTTTCAAATATATTTTTTGAATTAGAATTGAGTTCTTACATTTTATAAAGTTTATATCTGATTTATGAATTGATATTTGTTTTAGTATGGGTAAAGAAAGAAGTTACAAGCCGCGAAAACGTAAATTTCACGGTAATCAAAATACGTCGAAGCTGAAACTTTCAGAAGATGTGAAAGCTGAAAAAACTGCTAGTGAACTAAAATTGCATAATAAGCAAGAACTTTGTGTTGAAGATTGCAAAAAATTGATACTAGATGATGAAATTTCGGGAAATAGAATTATTGATATTAGTATATTGATTCAAGTATTTTCTATTTTACTTTGTCCAATATGTTCTTCTAGTAACCTTTTCCTTGAGGAAAATTCAAGATTTGGACTCTCTTCGAATTTCACCCTGAAATGCAAAAACTGCTCTTTCATGAAGGGTTTTTGTACTTCGAGAAAGAATAATAAGCTCAACGAAATAAATTCGAAATTCGTGCTAGGTCTACGGCTAATTGGGGCTGGATTTTCTGCTGGTAAAAAACTATGTACCATTTTGAATTTTCCATCATTTCTCTCTAAGAGTGCATTTCGAAAACATGAAGAGAAACTACTAAAGGCCGCAACAACTGTTGCTGAGAAATGTATGATAACAGCTGCTAAAGAAGTTTCAAGAATCAAAAATGACAGTTCATCTATAATAAAAGAGTGTGGAGTCTCTGTTGATGGGACTTGGCAGCGGAGAGGATTTTCTTCTTTAAATGGCTGTGTGACTGCGATTTCTGTGGATACTGGCAAAATATTGGACATGGAAGTACTGTCCCAATATTGTAGATTTTGTAGTATCATAAAAAATTCTTCTGATCATGTTTGTGCAAACCACAGTGGGTCTGCAGGAGCCATGGAGCCTGTTGGAGTCTACCGCATCTTCGAAAGATCAAAAAAAATTCGCGGTTTGAAGTACACGGATTACTATGGGGACGGTGACTCAAAAGCTTTTGACAGTGTGCGAGACATTTACGGAAAAAATTCTGTAAATAAATTGGAGTGTATAGGACATATCCAAAAGAGAGTTGGGTCTCGTTTACGCAAATTGAAAAGTAAACAGAAAGGTTTAGGTGGAAAGGGAAAATTGACGGATGCATTCATAGACAAACTACAAAATTACTACGGAATTGCAATCCGTAGTAATGTGGGAAACCTTGAAAATATGCAATCAGCAGTAATTGCAGCGTTTTTTCACTGCATATCTAATGCTCAATATCCAACACATGGACAGTGCCCCGTTGGAAGNTTTTAACCGTTTGAGTGCTGAAGAGTTTTCTTATATATATGCTAATAGTGCGGAATGAAATGCGTAGTAATTTCATCGCACAATAAAAATCACAATTGAGTAAAATGAATAAAAACTGCGATTGATATGAATTCAACTGCTCTCAATAGATACGAAAATTATACTAACCAACAGCAGCGTCTCTGCATTTTCGGTACAAAACAAGAGAGCTTCTCTGCATTTTTGGCACATAACAAGCAAATGCCGCACTCAAACGGTTAATACTCTGCAAATATTTTGCAACTGTATCAGTGTTTATTGCATAACCCTTCAATATTTGAGTTTAGTGCAAAATACATTATTCGTGCAGTAAACTAATGTTGAAATGCAAAGACAAATAATTTTTTTATAAGACCTTGATGAAGTCTTATAAAAAAATTTTTATAAGACCTTGATGAAGTCTTATAAAAAAATTTTTATAAGACCTTTTATATATTTTTTAAAGTTATTGTTAGTTAAAATTGTAATACAATGTCTCTGTAAGGGAAAAATATTTTCTAAAAACTAAGAAAAGTCTGTTGAAGAATTCTATCAATTACCTTAAAACCAGTAGTACATATTACCAGAATTAATTAAGCATCCGTATATGACAATTTCCCATTAACCTCATGAAGGAATAAAATAGTCTATTAACATTAATTAAGACTGTCTTTAGGCAATGTTATAATTAAAATGTATCATTGTTTCTTAAGTTCCCACTGACAACAAGATTATGTGGAAAATTGATTTATTTATCACTTATACAACATGTTTTGAATAATATTGATACACAACACAGTAAAATAATAAAACACTTATTTATTTAATGAAATGTTTAAAGAGGTGGGATCAGTGCACAAGATTCTGTTTAAATTCTCCTGAAACTCGATCTGCGCAGACAGCAGCCTCATCTTTAACGTGTGTTCTTCCACGTCCCTCTCCTCTTTACTCTTTAAAACTTGAATTTCCAATCTGTATTTTTCTTCAATAGAAGAAGCAGCTTTTTGGGCTGCAGAGGGGGCAGATTTTTTCGTTCGCTTTCTGAACATGGAATAGGTGGCTTTTAAACTGGCTTTTGCAGGAGTTTCCTCCGTTCATGCCACTGGTGTAGGAGGACATGGCGTTACGGTCACACCATTCTGTGATTCTTGATCCTGTAATAGTCAAAGTAAATTTGACACAGTGTTAAATTATGTGAAAATTAAATGTAGATACATAGTTTATTTTCTAGTGGTTTGTTAAGATATTCGTCAACACATGATTTATTTCCGTTATGATTTATAGTAATGCAGAGATTAATAACTGTTTTTTAAATATCGATAAAATATTTTAAAAAGCAAATTAATTCTATTTTTGTTCCACTTTTTCTTTCACATTAGATTGATTTATTCAGTAATTTAAAACACTGTGACAAATAGCCAAAATTTGAATAGCAATTTCTTTCAATATTAGAAAATTAATACTTTTCCTTGAAACGGTACTGAACTAAATAAATCAACTTGGTTTAAATTCGAGTAAATAATAAAATTTTTGTTTGAGAAACATTATATGAGTTGCGTAATAAAATGAGAGTAATACAGGTGTAAAATCCACGCAACATATTAAAATTTATCCCAAAATAAAACATCCTTTTCTCTTTTTTTTTTTTTGGATAACTCTTTTTTCACTTGAAAATTACAAGCCCACTACTTTTAATTCTTTCAGTCAAAATTTAACATGTCCGCAATTAGCATTATAGTTTTCCATTCTTGTAACAAGTATTTACAAAACGAATGGAAAATAAATGCATAAAACAAATCAAATTTAAGAGAAATTTTCTAAATGATTCTTTTGTATGAAATAAACACAAAAGCAGCAAATAAATTAATAATATACATTGCAAAGCCTTTTAGTTTTAGCATTAGTACATGAATGACTGTTTTACAACGAAGGACAATTATTATTTTCTAATCAATCAGCATAATAATAATAATAAGCTCAGCATAAATAATAAGTAATAGAATAAAATGTGAAAAAAGTTATTTGCCAAGAAAAATATTCTAATCACCGAGTTGATCCGGGATTTGTCTATCCCTGTTTATTCAATATATATTACAGTGCGAAGAACAGCTTTTAAGTTTTTACAAAGTCTGAGGCATAAATAAATTGGTTTAGAAAAGAATGATTTCACAGCCCCAATATATTTCAAGGTTAAAAAAAAACCGAATAGTTAATGAAATTTTTCTTAGATACTGAAAACCTTAGCTGCGCCATTAACATTCTTCTTCTTCTCATTGGCACGACAGCCCAGGATGGGCCTTGGCCTTCTCAACAAGCCTATGCCAAGACATTCTTCCCTTAGCCAAGGTTCTCCAGTTAATTATCTTTAAAATTTGTAGGTCCTTTTCAAGGCAGTCTAAAAATCTTAGGTTTGGTCGTCCTATTTTTCTTGTACCTATTGGTCTGGCACAGAAAACTTTTTTGGTTGTCCTGCTATCCTCCATTCCTGCCCATTTAATCCTTTGAATTTTGATTAATTTAATGACATCAGGTTCTTTATATGCTTTGTAGAGTTCCGTATTTGATCTTCTAAACCAGGTATCGTTTTTACTTATTCCACCAAAAATGCTTCGCAATATTTTTCTCTCAAAACTAGCTATCATATTTTCATCTGCGCCATTAACATTAAGCAGTGCAAATATAGTATACATATGTAGCATAATTATTTAATCCAGAATTATTTGCTAACAATAAAAACAATACTTACTACTGTTTCATCTAAAGCCTCACCATCTATAGTAAGAATGCTTATATTTTAATACTATATTTATATATAATTTTATATTTTATCATGCAATATATTTTTTAATTTATGTAATCTGTGTTTATTAATAATTATTATTTCTTATTTTAGGAACTCATTTGACTTAACTAATGGCAAGAATTTGAAGCAAAGTGTATAAAAATAATGCAGCAGTTCGTGCTGACAATGTTGAAAAAGCTGCTGAATTCTACAATATTAGTAAGACCATTCAGAACCGCCAAATTATTTCATTTAAAAAAAAGAGAGCATCCAAATTCTAACTCTGAATATATTTCAAATTTACAGAGTCGCAAAATATTCAGAGATGAGGAAGAAATAAAATTGGTAGAATATAGGTTGCAAGCCTCCAAGTACCATTACGGATTGACAATATGTGATGCACGTGCGCTTGCATATGAGTATGCTTTGGCAAACGAAAAGAACATTCCTTTAAACTGGCAGAATGAAAAAAAAGCTAGGAAAGAGTGGTACATTGGATTTAAAAGAAGGCACAGTTCTATGTTTTCACTTCGAAAACCAGAACCAACCAGCCTTTCTCGAGCCACCAGCTTTAGAAAGGACAATGTCAGTAAATTTTTACTTGTTTGTTGGACAATTTAGAATTGATTCTCAAACGTAAGCACTTTTTAGGAAGTGAAATCTTTAATCTAGACGAATCAGGACTCACGACTGTCCATGTACCACCAAGAGTTATTGCTGGAAAAGGAGTGAAGCAGGTGGGGCAAATGACATCTGGAGAGCGTGGTAAACTAGTAACAATTATTTCGGTTGTAAATGCCATTGGCAACTCAGTACCACCACTTTTGATTTTCCCTAGAAAGTTTTTTAAATATCATATGTTAAAAGGAGCACCCCCTGGTACCATTGGGGCTGCTAATCCTAGTGGTTGGTCAACACCTCAAATATTTTTGCAATATCTCGAACACTTCGTAAAATATGTTAAAATAACAAAATACAACAACATCGTCTTAATAATTGACAACCATAATACACATATAACTATTGAAGCCATTAATTTCTGCAAAGAAAATGGAATTATTATGCTCACTTTGCCACCTCACACAAGTCATAAACTGCAGCCTTTAGATCGTACTGTATTCAGCTCTTTTAAAGAACATTATAATATTGCTTGTAATCAATGGATGCTCACACATGCTGGAAGGCCTATAACAATATATGATATAGCTGAATGTGTAGGCAAAGCATATCCCCTTTCCTTTACACCAAAGAATATTGTTTCTGGTTTTCAAGTAACTGGAATTTATCCCTTTAATCGAGATGTATTTGATGACAGCGCATTTTTATCAGCTTTTGTCACTGATAGACCAATGCCATCAACAAGTTCATCTATGCAAAACAGGAATGAGTCCCTAGTAAGCGATTCACCTGTGTCGTTTTAGTTTCGAACAGCGATATGTTACCTGAAAATAAAATTTGTCAACCTTATTTTTATGGTGAAATTAAAGTAATCCACGATTCTGAAATAAAATGTAAAAGTTTGCTAATCACTGAATACAGAATCATATATTTCCAAATTTCTTTGAAATTAATTGCTAAATTTATCTTATAGTTTATATTATAGTTTTAAATGCATTTCTTTTGTATCAATCTTGAATTCTATAACACATTTGTTGAAAACTTTTATTGCATATTTTTATTTTGCGTTATCTTTATATAACGTGCATGATTTTGTAAATTTTTTATGGCATTTCAGTCGTAAAAATCTAACTGCTTTAGTGATTATTTTTAAATGACAGGACTGCTCTTTTTAATATTCATTTGTGTTTTAAATTATTCCTAAATTATATTTCATTCCAAATTTCAAGTTAATGTGTTTGCACAGTTAGTCAGAGTATATTTGTATGTTAACAATATCTTGAGGTGTTTGAATTTTGCGTACGCTTAATTTTTAAAACTATAAGTTATTACATATTTTAAATTTTGTTATCATTAGCATTCAATATCGTCCGATGCGTTGTAATGTAATATTTCAGCCAAATTTTTTATTGCAACTGAAATTCTACTTCTATATTACATACCTAAATACAAAAAAGAATTTACACGTTTGATGCAGTACATAAAAAATCAAATTTTTTTTAAAATTTACTATTTTACATTAAATTTTTTGGTGTCTTTATGCAATGTGAAAATAAAGAAGCAACAATTAATTTTTACTTTCTTTTTTATATTTCTAATTTAATTAAAAATTTCATGTTTCATATAACTATAAAAAGAAACTTAAAATGTTAATTCAAGAGGGTAGGTGGTTTCCTATACACCTGCAAATACTATTGCAAATCTTAAATTTTTTTAATGATGTTAACTTTTTATTGATCTGATGGTATATTAATAATTGAGTTCCATAGACAGCAGTTGATGTATTAATGAAAACAGGTATAGACTAATAAAAAACTATTGATCAATATTTATTGCTAAGTTCTACTGGTGTCAATAAAAATCTGTTGATATCAGTTCATTTATTGAAAAAACAAGTAGAATACCTAACTGATCAAAATCTATTGATACAAGTTAGACATCAGTTGAAGTGTGAAATACAGACACGTATATACCAATAGAGTACCTACTGATCAATAGCTATTAATACCAATACACTGCTGATATCAGTTGAAATGTCAATAGAAACAAGTACAGACCAATAAAATTTTTATTGATATTAATAAATGTTTTTATTGATTTCTATTGATCATTTTTGTAGGGTCTGTCCTAAACCTTCCTTTTAATTAGCCAAATGCTCGCTCAATGTACCCTAGCAGGAGAAAAAAAATTGATTGGGCCAATATTCACGAATCTTGGCTTAGTAAAGGTTTTGTCACGACGTTGCCTCGTGACAATTCTCGCCGTCAAACTTGTTAATCTTTTGTTAATTATACAGTTGATTAAGATCCCGTGGTCTCATCTCGCAATCGAATTACAATGGTCAGTTGAACTTTTGACTTTTTAGAAATTTGTCACAAGGTTATGTTTGATTTGTCGACCATCGGATGCATAATAGTATCACGTTTGACCTTTTGAAATAAAATGCATAAATAAACTAAAAAAAAAAGGAAAGACGCAGAATACAGAAAATTCAGTCCGATTGCAAGTGAGACGCTCAATACGAGCAGCTATGGGTAAGTGTGGTCCTCTTCCTTCTTATATATTAGTATATTGATTAAGTAATAAACAAAATATAATTATAACTTTTAAATCGGATACTTTAATTCAAAACAATAGCCGTCACAGTTTAAACGGTCGTTATTTTTTCGATAATGGCCCTAGATATAATTTTCCGATTCATATTTTACAGCCACTTTACAACCAATATCGGTCCTATATAGAATTATCAGATTCACCCGATATTTTATATCCATTATTTAGCAAATGTAGGTTCTATATTTGCTAAATAATGGTTTCCATAATTTTTTCCGGGCATGATGAGATACGCAGCTCCAGCTCTTGACCTTGTGCTTCCCGTCCGGAAGGGAGTTTCCCTTCAAGCAGAACTAAAAGTTGCTGCCATTGCCACCATCAACGAAAAATACCCCAGCGAAGAGTAGTTCCACATCTACACCGATGGCTCTGCTGAGAGCTTCAGGACGAACAGGCTCAGGTGTTTTCTCCAGATTTTTCCAACTCAAAAAGCCACTCAGTTCTCTGACAATTTCGATGAAGAAATGTTCGCGATATACCTGGCTCTCCAAAAGGTATTAGAAAGACCTGAAAATAGATTTGTTCTCCTCGTCGACTGCCAAGCCGAAATTCACACTATGTTTCAAAATATGTTCTACTCCCTACAGCCATTGAATTCAAGTGTAAAAACACTATTAATGCTCTTCTGTCTAGAGGAAAGGAGATAACTCTCTAATGGATCCCCAACCATTGTGGCTTATGGGGTATGGATGATAACCTTGCCAAAGAGGCATCTCTATTGGAGCCCCCTGTGCTGCTCAAAAATTTGAGAAATGTTAATCGAATTGTGAAACTAAAGCCTCGAAGTCTCTTTGTTTCGTCCAACAGAGAGCAAGTTTCTGGTTTCAATTCTTCTAGTTTCAAGACGCTCTCCGTCCCTGGAGATATTTCTTTGTTATATTGGACTGCAAGACTTCTCATGCTCGAGAGAGCAAATGATGGACGTAATTAAATAAAAATAATCATTGGCCAATATAGGTCCTATATAGGCCATTCTATGACCAATATTAAAAAATCTAGACATTCCATTAATGGTGCCTCAGTGCATGTTTTTATAGGACCCATATCGAGCCAATTTTGAACCCAACTGGGGCCAAGGTAAAACTGTTGCTTGGATCTCAGAATCTCTCTGAACACCCTAGCATCGTGAAGAGATCCTGGAACAGCACAAAACACACGAGTGAATAATCTCAGATCAACAATACACACAGCCTTGCAGAATAATACTGTATTTACTTTTCCTGTTATATTATATCTCAGACTGCTCTCTAGGGGCTTTCATGGATATGTATGATCCATCATTAGCACCGACGATTCCAGGAAATCCTCCAATGGTCAGGAATCTGAGCTCAGCAATGCTAGGGTCTGGCCAGGCAATCACACTTGGTGCTATCTTTTCCAAGTTGCGAAAGACCTTGCTTAGTTAAGTCGAATCAATCAGCAACTGACCTGTAATAAACTCAATGAAAATAATAAACAATATAATTTGGATTTATTCTGTGAAAAAACTCAAATTATTACATTCTCTACACTGTATAATTACAAATTATTAGACTGGAGAAAATGCTTCTACGTCTTTAGCAATTAGTGACATTGAAATCCTAATTTTAAATATTTGAAAAGTGCAATTTTTTATTAAGTTAAATGGTAAAATGCACAGAGTAACTTAACAAAATGTCGAGCAATCCTCTAAACTTAGGAGAAATCTTATTCTCGGTTCTGTAAGAAATAGTGAAAGCTGGAGGTTATTTTGTGGTGCTGAAAATAGTATTTTTGTGTATAATCGTGTAAATGAGAGGATTTTCCATTATAGAAGGGTTAATAGCTCATATTACTTTAAACCTAATTCTTATACTAAGCCTATTGGTAATTAAAATCTTAGTGACGTGAACGAGCAGTTATTTAATCCCTTAACAATGACATATATTTCAAAAAAAATTGAAATTTTTTTTTGAATTGTTTAAATTTGTTCTTTATATTATTATAAAAGTTAAAAAAGGTTTTTTATTACAAAAATAAAATTTTAAATTCAATAACTACTGAGTTTAAAATTTTTACATACACATAAAAAAGTAATGGATTACACACACATCTTATTCAATTAAAGCAAAATAAACAATATTTTGAAGCTAAATATAAACAGATTAATTTTCGAAACATACATTTTACAGATCTTTTACAATATGGTATATCCCAAATCCCCTCCCTCGACTGAAGTCGTAATCGGTGAAAAAGTAGGACCACCAGTGCCATCTATTAGGAAAATAGTGAATTAAGTATCTTAAAGAATAAACGAACTCAGCTCGGGTTTCACAAACTCCTGCCCGAAGTCAGTTCGGGCATCACCAATACTGCACGTAGTAGTTGCCGAACTGGATTCGGGCGACACTGGTAAGGGGTTAATATCTCTGTTTAGCTAGCCAAATGATCGAGATATCTGACATTTAAGGAATTGCCATATAAATTGCGTTGAGATTATTAAGAACAAAACTTCTATTGAGAAAAGATTACTTAATCTCGATTTTTCAGATAGTAATGGTGTACTATGTAAATTAGCTAAACACTTTTACATATATACGTATGTGGGCCAATGCCTGTTATATCTATAGTGGAAGTCGGTACTTTGTTTCTATCACAGACGATTTTTCAAAGAAAGTTACTGTTTTTCGCATTAAAAAGAAATCTGATGTTTCTAATCGTTACATAAGATTTCAAAAACGAGCATAAAAGTTTTAAAACAGAAAAATTGTAAATGTCAGAACTGATAATGGCATGGAATTTATTTTGACACAAAGAGTTAAGTAATTTTTCTTGAAAAAGAAGGTATAAAAGTTGAGCGTACTAACATTTACACGCCAGAACAAAATTGTGTTAGTGAACGCAATAATTTAATTGTCTTAGACAATGTTAAAATGTAGTAAATTGGATGATGCTTTATTGGCAGAAGCTTTACTTACACTTTTAATTGAGCATGTCATAAAAATAAAACTCCCTTTGAGTTGTTTAGTGGTAGAAAACAATCAGTCACTTATTTGAAAGCGTTTGGTTGTTTAGCATTTGTAGGCCCCTTAAAGCAGTTGAGAAATAATTTTCAAATGAGATCTAAAGAAGGGATTATGTTGGGGTATGCAATGCATATAAAGGGTTATATAATTTGGCTTAAAAAAAAGATAAGAAATTTGTTGAAACGATCAATGTTCGTATTAACGAA